GGAGATCCTGAAGCCCTCGCCTGACCTAACCATCCAGAACCAGCTCCAGCAGCCCTCCAGCCAGGTTATCAGCCTTCAGAACCTTTTTGATGTGGATGCCTGTGGGCGGCAGGTGAAGAATGTGGTGCTGTATGGCACTGTGGGCACGGGGAAGAGCACCCTCATCAAGAAGATGGTGGTGGACTGGTGCCATGGTCTCCTACCCCGCTTTGAGCTGCTCATCCCCTTCTCCTGTGAGGACCTGTCCCATAGTCATGCCCCCATCTCTCTGAGGCGCCTCATAACCAAGAAGTACCAGCACCTCCGGGATGTAGTGCCAATGCTGGGCACTTCCAACCTCAAGGTGCTTTTCATCCTAAATGGCCTGGAGCGCCTCAACTTGGACTTCCGTCTGGCTGGCACAGAGCTGTGCTGTGACCCCAATGAGCCTGTGCCTCCCTCTGCGATCGTGGTCAACCTGCTGCGAAAATACCTCCTGCCAGAGGTCAGTGTTTGCCTCCATCTCCTTCATGCTGGAGAAAGGCTGGGGGTGATCCCTGGGGCATTGCAGGCATGGCCATTGTGCTAATTGCTTGTAGTCCAGCTTGGCTATGAGTGAACAGGCAGCCTCCATTGCTGGAGGGACTCACCAAGGTGGCCTCATGTCACTGTTATTGGTTTGTGTCTGTGAGATCTTTGGTGAGGCCTGTAAGGCAACGAAGGCAGTCTGCTGGGCTGTGGTCTTCCAAACTCAATATATGTCTAGCAGGGGATGGAGAAAGATCTTCTGTCCCCCCTGCCTGGGCCAGATTTGAAACAATGCCCTTTGGCCAGCAACTTCTTGAACCCCAGCCCCTGGGTGGTGTGATTCTTGTACACCTATATGTGGGTGATGCACTTGGGACCCTGCTGAGCTTAGATCAAAGCCACAGAGGGAGCACCTCCAAACTCACCCAGCCCTCTGCTTCCAGGCCAGCATCATTGTCACCACGCGCCCATCTGCGGTACGTCGGATCCCTGGCAAGTATGTGGGCCGCTACGCTGAGATCTGTGGCTTCTCTGACACCAACTTGCAGAAGCTGTACTTCCAGATGCGTCTCAGCCAGCCTGGCTGCAGTGGAGAGAACAGTGTGGGTAGCAGCTCAGGTGAGCAGGAAAACTTGGTGGAGATGTTGTCGAGGAACTTGGAGCGCCACAACCAAATAGCTGCCGCCTGCTTCTTGCCCTCTTACTGCTGGCTGGTGTGCACCACGCTGCACTTCCTCTACTTCACCAGGACGGTGCCTCCCAGCCAGACCCTGACTGGCATCTACACCAGCTTCCTGAGACTCAACTTCAGTGGGGAGGTGCTGGACAGCACTGACCCCACCAACATCTCCATGATGAAGTACGTGGCCAAGACGGTGGGTAAGCTAGCCTACGAAGGGGTGATGTCCCGCAAGACCTGCTTCTCAGAGGATGACCTGCAGCAGTGCTTTGAGGTGGAGATGAAGACTGAAAGTGAGCTCAACCTCCTGGAAGTCTTCCGCAGTGATGTCTTCCGCTTCTTTCTCACTCCGTGTGTGCAGCCAGGCAAAGAGCACACCTTTGTCTTCACCATCCCTGCTATGCAGGAGTACCTGGCAGCCCTGTATGTGGTGCTGGGTGAAAAGAAGACTGTGGCACAGAGAGTGGGGAAGGAGCTGTCGGAGATCATTGGGAAGGTGAGTGAAGATGTTGCAGTTGTTCTGAGTATCATCTCCAAGGTGCTGCCCTTGCGCTTTCTGCCCGTGCTCCTCAACCTGCTCAAAATCTTCCCTCGCTACTTCTCCCGGCTGAGCGGTAAGGACCGAGATGCTATTGCCCACACCATGGCAGAGGAGCTGTTCAAAGAGGAGGACTACAACAATGATGATGTCTTGGACCAGATCAATTCCAGCATCCTGGGTGTGGAAGGCCCCATGCACCACCCTGATGAGGCCCCTGATGATGAAGTCTTTGAGCTCTTCCCCATCTTCATGGGTGGGATACTGTCCCGCCGTAACCGTGCCATCCTGGAGCAGCTAGGCTGCTCCATCAAGAACCTGGCAGCCTTTGAAATTGCCAAGGCCATGAAGAAGACAGTCATCAGGAAGAGCCGCAAGGGGCTGCCCCCCTCTGAGCTGATGGACTACCTCTTCTTTCTGCATGAGTTCCAGAATGAGCGCTTCACAGCTGAGGCCATCCGCTCCCTCCGTACAGTCAACCTCTCATCCGTCAGGATGACCCCTCTCAAGTGCTCTGTCCTGGCATCTGTCATGGGCACCACGTGCCATGAGGTAGAGGAGCTGAACCTGACCTCCTGCAACCTTGACACGAGCAGCTTGAGAATCCTCTTCCCTGTCCTGCTGCGATGCAAAGCTCTCCAGTGAGTACCACCTTCTTCTGCCCTTGGGCAGTATTCAAAAATTGGGCTCCCCCTCACCTCTGCCCATGACACGAATACCCTTGGAGCCTGAGCATGGCAAAGACAGGGAAGGGTATGGATGCCCTTGTTTATTCTCGGTGCAGACCTAGGGGACTACAGCTTCCAACATGCAACAGTCCTTGAGCAGCCTTGCTAGGGCACTGCATGCTGGAACTTGCAGTCCCAACACACCCTCCTATAGGACTCTGTGGGAAGCTGGTACCACAAACTGGGCTGCCAAGTCCCCTGGCAGACCCAGGTCCCTCCCATTGCTTGGTCCCCTGGAGCCACCCAGCATCCCCCTGTAGCTAGCTCTGCTGCTAGTAACTCAGGGTGGGAGATACGCAGCCCAAGGGTGGGAGTCTGGGCTGCGCAAAGGGGTGGGTTGCGTTCCAGTCCATTTGTGGAACTGCAGTCTTCCTGTCGCCCAGGGGGTGGCGAGCCGTGCTCAACAGAGATGGACTCGGCTGTGCAGCGGGGCTGTGCAGCACTTCCTTCCTCCAGATGCTCAGGAGGGCTTGGTGGGGTCCTGATCCCTCCTCAGGCCTTCATCCATCCCCTGCGGACCCCACACCCCCTTCCTCTCCCTTGCTCCTCCTGGCACTGGCACTGGCTCTGGTGGTTTATGCTACCCAAGCTCTGGTGCAGTTTCAGTATGCTCCCTTTTGGAGAGGAAGCCTTTCGTGGCCTTGTCTGGGGAGCCCAGGTAGGATGGCGATAGGGAGGGCCAGGGAAAATGGAGATAGCAGGGTTGCCAGCCCCACAGGTAACAGCCATTTCGGTCCTGTGACCCTATGTCTCGCTCTACAACAGTCTGCAGCTCAACAGCCTGGGCCCTGACGCCTGCAAGGAAATCCGTGACCTGCTCCTGCATGAGAAGTGTGTGGTGAGCAACCTGCGGTGAGTACTGCCTCTGTCCTTGCATGGAGCTGTCTCTGCTACCCACCATGTGCCCTGGCCCTGGGCCCCCTGGCCAGCCTCGGCATTGCCCTGAGCTCCTGTGTCCACAGGCTGGCAAATAACCCCGTGGGGGAGCAGGGGGCTCAATACCTGGCCGAGGCGCTGGCAGGCAACCGCTCGCTAACCCATTTGTCCCTGCTGCACACCGCACTGGGGGACCAGGGCACCGAGGTCATTGCTCAGCACCTGGCTGAGAACCAGCACCTTCAGGAGCTCAACCTGGGCTACAACTCCCTGACGGACACAGCTGCCCTGCACGTGGTGGAGGTGGCCAAAAAGCACGCAACTCTGGACAAAGTGCAGTGAGTTCACTCTGCCCCATCTCTTCCCTCGTGCAGGCAATGCCTCTGACCCAGTGTCCCTCCCCGTGGCAGGCAGCAGGGAGCTCCTGTCTGTCTCTGTGTCCTGCCTCCCAGCCCTCACGAGGTCTCCTGCTCTTTTTCTCTCAACCCGCAGTCTGTACTTCAATGACATCAGTGAGGATGGCAAGCGGGCACTTCACAGCCTGCGCATGGACCGGGATGGCGTCAGGGCACTCGTCTTCCTTACAGCAGGCACCGATGTCTCCGACTACTGGTCCAATATCCTGAACGTGGTGCAGAAGAACCTGCCTTTCTGGGACCGTGAGCGGGTTCGGCAGCACCTTGCCCTCATCCTGCAGGACCTGGAGAGCAGCCGGAGACAGACCGCCAACCCCTGGAGGAAAGCCAAGTTCCTACGAGTCGAGAGTGAGGTCAAGAAGATGCTGGGGAAACTGCAGCATGGGACCCTCTAACTTGCTCTCCATCCACCCAGCCGGGGAGGGAGCAGTGCTCCTGGGGAGGAAACGCTGGAGTGTGCCCCAGCAGCACATCCCCTGCACCCTTATCCGCGTGGAGATGCCTAGTGGTCGGGTGCTACCAAGGCTGTCAAAGGTGCTGGGTATGTGGGGCTCAGCCCTCATCTGCGGGCAAGGCTGAAGTGGGGGAGAACTGTACAGAGTCCAGGCCAGGAACAAATGGGACTTGTTGTTCTGGGCTTGTAGAGACCCAGCCCCTGCACCCTGGCCACAGCTGGCCTGGCCAGGAGCCACAGCAGTGGCAGAGGGGCAGGACTCAGGCTTTCTTGTGAAACTTTTGGTAGCATTAAAGTGCACCTCTGTTTCCACTGAAGCACACTAGTGCCAAGACTTGATCTCCTCTGCGGGCCGTTCCTGGGGGAGGAATGCGGAGGTGCTGGTGCATCCGTCCCTGCAGCAGTTGGAGTGGAGGGCTCTGGCCCTTCCCCATCTCACGGGGTTAGGATGGGGCAGCCCACTTCTCCAGCCCATGCTAAACCAGTTGGTCTTCCGTACCATAGGCTGCCCTTGGTGGCAGCTGGGAGCTGGGACACCAGATTCTGTTCCCAAGCTGGGTGTCCCAGGGTGCTGGTCCCTGCTCCCAGTTCTACTGGGTGCGGACTGGCAATGCCCCAGGGCTGGGAGGGCAGGGGAGACATCAGGACTGTTTAACCATTAAACCTGGGGCGTCTTGGAAGAGGCGGGGACAATTCCCTGCCACTTCATTCTGTACCTTGCTCCCTCCTGCATTCCCTGCAGCCATGAAGCAAACAAAAGGTATGTGCCGGGGCAGTGGGGCCAGTGGAGACCCTTCCCCACATGCATGTCTCCAGGCCCTGCTTCCGCAAGGAGCAAAGCAATGTCGGAGCCCAGGCAGGCCATGGAATGGAGCTAGAGGCATCCAGAAAAATGGGGGCGCTTGGCAGGAATCCCCTCTCCTTGGGTTTGGGGGTCCTTGTGCTGGAAGGGGTGGTGGGGGTGGTTTATGGGGAGGTGCGCAGGGGAAGGACTCCGTCTCCATCTCCTCTCTCCAGCCAGCTCTCTGGGGCTCTGGTTACCCTTCCATCCCTCACTCAGAAGCCCTGTAAACCCCCAGGACTAACCTCCATCTGCATACCGCTGCCTGGCTCTACTTTGCCCCAGTGCTGCATGATCCCGCTGGGCTGGGCAGCGGGTGCCCGTTTTGGACCCAAGCAGCAGGTGTCCTACTGTTTTGAAATGCAACGCAGGCAGAGGGGCTGGGGTGGGGGGGGGGCTGCGTGGACTTGGCAAACCCACCTCACCTGGCGTGGCATGCTCAGACTGCGAATGGACAAGCCCGGAGTGCTCGAGAGCGTGGGGTTGGCTCCTGGCCCACCGCCTCTGGCACTGACCTCTCATCTCCCTCTGCAGGACTCGAGGGTGACAAGAAGTCCATCATGTAAGTGCTGAGCTCCCCCTGGCCTGGGGCTTCCTGGGGCTCATGGCCCCACAACTGAGCTGTGCTGGGGCACATCCTCAGCTGAGGTGGTGTGGGTCACAGCTGCCAGTCACAGCTGCCAATCCCAGCTGCCTGCCCCAAGAAGGTCTTCCCTGAGTTGTTAACCCAGGAGAGATGTTGGGGGCAGTCTAAGAGGGAGATCCCCTCCTGCCTTAAAAGGAGGCACTGGAGCTGTGGCCCCGGCTGGCCCTTTCTGGGAGGAACAGGGCTCCCCACAGCCATGCTGCTGCACTGATGTGGCCTCCCCTGCCCTTTATCATTTCAGAAAATTTGAATTTAACCCCAAAGATGGCATCGACAACCCTGCCTTGTCGCTGGCCGAGGACATGGGTAAATACCCTCACCTCCCCAGGGCATCCCTGTGTCAGCACAGCGTTCTGGCAGCTGGGCATTGCTGGGGTCTTGGGCTTTATCACATGGGGGAGCTGTGGGGAGGTGAACACATAAGGCAGCAGGGATGGGGAGATCCCAGCCCTGGATGGAGTAGAGAACTGGTGTTAGCATCCCTGCAGGGCCCTGCTTACTGGCTGTGTCCCCACGCAGATGGCGAAGGCGTGGGGGAGCCCCGCTTCTACCTGCTGAGCAAGGGCAGCATGGAGACCTTCGGCTTCTGCCTCCATGAGGAGCTGGGCTCCCGGGGCCACATCATCCGGCAGGTTGAGCTGGGGGGACTGGCCCAGCGCAGGGGGCTGCAGGATGGGGACCGCCTCCTCCAGGTCAATGGCTACTTCGTGGACCACATGGACCACCGCAGGGTAAGCTGGGAGCACCCCGGGGCTGTGGGAATGCAGGGCGTGGGACCCTGCTGCCCCCCAGGGCTCTGATCCCATAGGCTGGCGTTGGAGGTGTGCCCTGCCCAGGGTTCACAGCCTGGGTCCTTTCAGGTGGTGCAGAAGATCAAGGCCAGCGGGAACCAGGTTCTACTGACAGTGCTGGACGGTGACTCCTACGAAGCAGCCAAAGCCCTGGGCAGAGACCTGTCCCAGATGCTGCCCACTGACATGCGTCCGCGCCTCTGCCATATCGCACGGGACAAAAGTGGTTTTGGCTTCAGTGTATCAGCTCCAGAAGGTAAAGTAGGCAGCAGGATGTTGGTGCCGTGAGCTTCCCTGATGTATCACCTCACCTCACTCACCCCAGGTTGCTTCTTCTCCTCCCTGCAGGTGTGAAGGGCACCTTCCAGCTGTCAGTGCAGCAGGGTGGGCCAGCAGAGAGGGCAGGGGTGCCACCAGGCTCCTGGCTCCTGGAGCTGAACGGGGCCAGCGTGAGGAGCTACTCACACACGCAGCTTGCCAGAAAGGTGCATGCTCCTGGAGTGGGTTGGTGGGGGACCAGGGCTGGCAATGTCACTGAGCACCCTGCGTTTCCCATGCAGCTTAAGCAGAGCGGCAGCAAGGTCACGCTGCTGGTGGCGTCCAGTGCTGTGGAGGAGTTTTACCGCCTGCGGGGCCTGCGGATCACGGCTGCCTTGGCAGACACCTCCTGGCTCCCCTTCAAGGTCCGGGAGCTGCATATGGTGAAGGGTCCAGCTGGCTACGGGTTTCTGCTCAAGGAAGATGACTGCAGCTCAGGGGCCACAGGTGAGGGCGCTGAAGGGGGCGGTCTGTACCTGAGCAAGGCATGTCTGAGGGTCAGAAATAGGTGTAAGCCCTGTGCCCACAGCGGGACCCTGTCCCCACCTGCACACTGGGGTCAGCGGTGCTAGTTCCCTCTGCCTGAATGTCTCTGTGAACATCTCCCCACCCTCCCTCTGTCCCTCTGTGGCAGGCCAGTTCCTGTGGGACGTGGATGCGGGGCTGCCAGCTGAGCAGGCAGGGATGAAGGAAGGGGACCGTCTCCTGGCTGTGAATGGTGAGAGCATTGAGGGGCTGGACCACCAGCAGACGGTGCTCAGGATCCGTGCCCGTGATGACCAGGTGACGCTGCTGGTCATTGACCCTGCTGGTGATGAGTTCTACCAGTCGGTAGGTTTTGGGGACCCAGCATAGTCCCACCCTGGTTGGGGAGCCCTGGGGTGCTGCGAAGCTGCATGATGGGATGTGTATCTTGCTCCCAGGCCTGCACAATGAGGTCCTCTCTGGGGGACCTGGCTTGCCGTGAAGTGCCAGGAGCTGTACGGCAATCCCTCTTCTGTTCTTCCAGATCGGGCTGTCCCCTCTGCTGTTCTTTGAGGACAGTGACCCTGCCTCAGGCTCCCACATTCCCTCCCTGCCCTCTCCCAGTGGGTCCCCTGAACAATATCACATTGAGGTGGGACCAAAGGGACTTGGCTCCTGGCTGGTGGCTGCTGCCAACAGTATAGAGATCACACAGGTAACCTCTCTTGCCAGACCCTCTCAGCAGTGCTGCTCACAGCCCAGCACTGCTCTGAGTCCTGGTACCCTCCTGCCCTGCCTGTCCTAATATTTCCCTGGCACCTGTGAGGCTGGCAGGAGGGGCTGCATGGTCTCCTGGCCACAGGGGTCAGGCAGAAAGACCCCTCCAACCTGCCGATGGGGCAAGGGTGGAGTGGGCTGGGGTGGGTGGATGTGTGCTACCCACAATGTCCCTGCTGTGTCTCCACAGAGCCTTCGCCAGGAGGAGCACAGGAGGCTGCACCAGGCATTCTAGCAGCCCAGGACCACCCTGCCTCCAGCCAGACCACATCCAGCCCATGGGTCCACCCCGTGCGTGGCTTCCCGGAGAGCACAGCACTGCTCAGCATGGCTGTTGCATGGATAGTTGCTGTGTCTCCATGCCTGTGATGGGGTTCACAGCATCACACCTCCCAGAGACTCATCTCCACTGATTGAGGCTGGCTCCAAATTTTATTAACCATGACGGTGGCTTCTTGTAACCTGAAGACAGAACTGTGTCTTTGGCTGCCCAGGTACCTCCAGGGGTATCTAGGGACATTGCACTGAAGTCCTTGCCCGGCTCCAGGCTCTGGGACCACCCAGGAGAGCTGAGGCACTGCCCTCCATGCCATGACCCAGAGGACTGGGGAGCATGAGGCTCGGCTCAGACCAGGGCTGGCCTTTGGGCCATTGTGTGAAGGGGAAAGGGAGCAGTAGAGGCCAACGGGGTGCTGGAGTAACCCCCACCTCTCAGGTCTGCCCCTGCATGGACATCTCTTGTGCTCCTCCTCTCATCCTCCCTGAGAACCTGTGGGCAGTGGGTGCTTGCCACCCATCATAGCACTGTTTCTGCGTCACCCATTCGGGGTGTGATTAAAGTACAAATTCACACTGCTGTTCATGTGTTCATGTTATGGAGAGGACTGTGACTCAGCAGTACATCTCAGGGCCAGACAGGATCCATTTTCTCCTGCCTAGCCTGGGGCAGCTGGGGTGTTGGGCAGTGGATGTGGGAAGCTGATAGGGAGTGTGCTGATAGGGAGGTAGGGGCTGAGAGCCTGTCCCTTCCTGGGAGCCCCGGGGTGCTATATGTCCAGGGGGTTGAGGCCAAACTCCCTTAGGCGTTCCTTGTGCTCCACAGCGATGGTCATTCCTACTTCTTCCCAGTGCTGGCTGGCCTCTGCCATCTTGGCCAGCACAAGGTCCAGGCTACCCTGCTGGAAAAGAGGATGGTGAGGAAGGGGAACCATGCTGCCAGGGGGAGCCACCCACAGCCACATCCCCACTCACGTGGAGGATCTTCTCATACTCCCTCTCCATGGCATCGAGCTTGCCCTGCAGCTGGGCGATGGTCTTGTCCTTCTCTGCTAGTGCCTGGGTGGCAGTCTGCCGGATTTGCTGGCTCTCCCAGAGCCTGGTGGCTGTGGGGTGCAGGGACAAAAGGAGGGGACACTGAGTACGTGGGCACAGGAGCCTGGCACTGCGTGACCAGTGCACAGGAGGGTGCAGGCAGTGTGTGGCACAGCCCCTGCCTGATCCCCCTCATCCCTGGGGTGGCAGAGGGCTCTGGGGCAGGGGTGGGATCACAGCATCCCCTTTGCAGTCAGCATCTCCCAAGGTTGGGGGTGCACTGGGAACAGGGTCAGGCTTTGCCTTCAGCTACTGCCACGCTGACAGCACAAGGTGAATGAATCCCATCTCCCCTTGCCCCCTCCACCCCCCATCCCCCCCAAGTGCACTTTGCTGCCCTGGAGCAAACCCAATCTCCACCCACTAGCAAGGAGCAGGCGTGCTGGGGGACCATACCGAGCTGCTCCTGCAGGCTCTTCACCTTCGCCTCCAAGTGCTGTCTGTGGGCTGCTGTCTGCTTCTGCAGCTCCTGGTATTGCCGGGTCATTTCTGGGAGCCAGGGAAGGGAGAAGGGAACAAACGCGGTGACTATAGGAGAGACAAACAGGCAGTCCCTGTGCTTGGATCGCAAGCTGTGACCAGGCAGGGGCTCCAGCAATGCCTGGCCTGAGGGCTTCCCTTGCAGGGTGACGCGAGGGGGGGTGGGGGCAGGGGCAGGAGGCAGCCCTGGAGGAAAAGTTTTACCTCTCTGTCGAGCGTGGGAGAGTGAAAAAGAGCACGGAGTTTTGCATGTGGCAGAGACCGCAAACCTCTGGCTGAGGTTTTACCGCTGCTAAAATCAGCCCCTTCTTGAGCGCTAACGGAAACGGCAAGGCAATGGCTTTTGCAGGCAGGGAAGTCTCTGCCTCTGTGGTCTCCCCTGCCTGTGCCGAGTACAGGCGTCTGGGGTGCAGGGAGTCCATGTCCAGATCCTTTGCTGACTGCGTGGGAGGGAGCGGGGCTAACCAACAGCAGGGTGCTTTGGGGCTGAGCAGTCAAGGCCAAAGGGAGAGGTAGGGTAAGCACGGCTGGCTTTCCCCAGCAGCACCAAGGTGTGGGGCCCCTGCATCTGTCCCACTGCCCTCTCCCATCTCTGCCCTCACCTTCATGAATGTCTCGCTTGTCTTCCCGTGCCTGCTCCAGTGCCTTCTGCAAGTCCCACAGCCTCCGCTTGAGCCCTTCAATGTCAGCTTTTGCCTGCCAGGTCATGTCCCTCCAGGGAACTGCAAGCCAGACATGCACAGGACTGCTACAGGGACGATGCACTTCCTGATATGTGACCCACACCACGACCCTGGTGGCCTGAGCACCGGCAGTCAAAGGGCACCATCCAAACCACACTGGGTGGCTATTCCCTGCCCAGTACCTCCTCCGTACCTTGGCCCAGCAGTGACTTATTCCTAGCCTTTCTCTGCTCCCGAAGCCGGGGGGATGTGGATACCTCCCCAGCCCATGCCTGGCCCCAAGCCTTGCCTGAACCAGAGTGAATCTCATAGCAAGAAACCTCTGCTTCACTTCAGCCCAGCACTGTGCTAGGGAAGCATTTCGAGGTGGGTGCCCCACCATGGCATCCCTACCACCTCCCATCTGCTTTCATCATTGCTGCTCTCTTTCACTGCCATCTCTGCAGCATAGCTGGAGGCCAGCAGCTGCACGCCAGGGACTCTTGGGACAGCACAGGCAGCCCCTTGGGCTGCAGCCCACATGCAAGGGAGGCCGTGTGCCATCCTCTGGCATGACTTGCTGCCAGGAAAGGCTAGTCCCTAGGAATTACATGCAGGGCAGCAGGCATCCCTCACTTGCCCCAGCCCCTGGCTCCTGCAGACCTTACCCAGGTGCTCTTTCGGCGTGTCAGCCTTCAGTGCTGCTTCCGTGTACTTCTCTTCAGCTTGGCTTTCTGCAGCCAGAGGGAAGAAGGAAGGGACAGAGTCAAAAGCAGCTCTTTAAAGGGGCTTGGCCCAGGGACACCAAGGGCTGTCAAATGGCCCATGGCAAGCCTGCCTTGGGATGTTTGCCCCAGGAAAACTTGGCTGGGACACACCTCCAACTCAAACACCAGCACCAGGGCAGTATTTGTGCAGACACCTGTCAGACACAGAGTCAAGGTGTAGCCGGTTTTACTTGATGCGACTGCCCTAGAGAGATGCATGCTCATTTGTGACAGAGGGCTGGGATTTTGCAGTGAAGATGGGACTGTAGCCATGGCGCATAGAGGCTTGGGAACCCCTTCCAAACCCCACCCCAGATGCTCTTCCAGCCTGGCACATGCTTTCACTTTCAGAGGGATGTAGCAGAGGCTGGGACCTGGCAGAGCTGCTCTCTTTGACCTCCTCCCTGGTTCCTGCTGGGATGGAGGGTGCAGTGGGGTGCAGGGTGCTTCAGGCAGGGCACTGGACCCCCCTATCTGCTGTATCTCATCAGGTGTAACTGTGCTGCTGCCCTGGCACAGGGTGAGTGGGGCTGTGGGAGATGCAAGAGCTGCAGTCAGGCTGTCCTATGGGCCCCCAGTGCAATCCCTCCCCCCGGTGCTCCCAGCTCCCACTTCCAGCAGCCCCCAC